GTAAAAACTCTTCACTGCTTTCGTAACCTACCTCCCACACCAACACTTTCAACTCTGCCAATTGCCCCCCTATCCACCCTGCTACCCTTTTCCAAATCCATAAATGCCACAAAAGACCTCTTTTGCCCTTTTCTAAATAGTTTTACTTATATTTTCATGTAAACCCTGGTCCAACACCCCCCACCTTTCCTAAACCTCCCTTTTTATCTGCATCCTATTTCCGTCTTACTCTTAATTCTTCAATTTTTAAAATCTACCTACACTTTACAGGTACACTCAAAAACTTACCCCCCCTATAATTTTTTGCACCCCTTTTTTAACCCCTTTGTTTTATCAAAGGAACTAGCATGCTCTCTCCCAACCCCTAGGTACCTTACCCTCTTCCTTTAATTTTTTAAAAAATTTTGCACCAACCACCCAAAACTATATCCCCACCTGTTTTTTAACTTTTCTATCTTTACCCACAATCCCGGCTGCCTTCCCCCCTTTTCATTTTACCTACTGCCTCACGAACTTCCCCCACCTCACAAGGGGCTCTTCCTCACTCCTAAAAGATTTTATTCCTCCTTGCCCTTACACGAAAACACAGCTCCCTATCTTAAACAACATTTAACAATTTCCCCAAAATATTCCTTCATCTTCCAATACTCTAATTCCATTTAATAACTCTCCTCCCTTTTTTTAAATGAAAATCCATTTGTTCTCTAGGCTTTCTTAACTTTTAATCTCACTCCAAAATTTTTTTTTATTTTCAAAAAATTTTTTGTAACTCTCACCCACTCTTCATTTGCTCTCTTTTTTCATTGCTCACCACTCTTTAACTTCTCTCTTTTTTTCCATATACTCTTCCCTCCTTTCATCACTTCTATTTTGTAAAAACTTCTCATATGCAAACTTTTTTCTCCCTAACTACTCTCTTTACATCATCATTCCACCAATCGTTTCCTCTTCCCTCCTGCACCCACTTTCCTGAAAACCACAAACTTCTGCTGAACACTCTAACACTACATTTTTTAAACCTACCCCATACCTCTTCGACCCCATTGCCTATCTCTCATTAGCCCATCTATCCTCCAATAGCTGTTTATCTTACCCTAACTGCCTCCTCTTTTATTTTTAAACCTTCCCCTCTCTTTTTCCCTGATGCTTCTGTTCTCCTTGTATTCCATCTACCTTTTACTCTCAGTGTACCCAAACAACTAGAAAGTGATCTGATATATCTGTGGCCCCTCTATAAACATGAAACATCCTGAAGTCTACTCCAACAGTCTTTTATCTACCAATACATAATCCAACAAACTACTGTCATTTCGCCCTACATCATATCGTGTATACTTATTTATCCTCTTTTTTTTAAAAATATGTATTACCTATAACAAAACCCCCTTTTCTATACAAAGTTCAATCAAAGGGCTCCCATTATCATTTACACCTGGCACCCCAAACTTACCTACCACACCCTCCCCTAAAAGTTTCTCCTACTTTAGCATTCAGTCCCCTACCACAATTACTCTCTCACTTGGTTCAAAGGCTCCTATACTTTCCCACTTAACATCTCCCAAAATCTCTCTCTCTCCCCCTGCATTCCTCTTCTCCAGGTGCATACACGCTTATTATGACCCACTTCTCGCATCCAACCTTTACTTTAATCCACAAAAATTCTTGAATTTACACATTCATATTCTCTTTTTATATATATATATATATAAATAATATATATTTTAATATATAATATTATATATAATATATATATATATATATATATATATTTTATATATATATATAATTGGTACAAATCAGTTTAAGTTAGTTTTTTTCTCCCTTCATGCATATTACTGTACTACTCATGACTATTAGCACACCAAGAATCTTGCCTTTGCAGACTTACCTCATTATGTGGTAATAAAGAAGGGATTGTATGTATGCATGTATCCTAAGTCATGTGTTCACCATGCTGCGGGGGCATTGAACCCCCCCAAACCCTCTCCAGGTATACTTAGCTCCTGATGTTCCCCCTGTGTCACTTGAACCACTAACAGGGCCTCATAAATAACTTACACTCACCAGGTTTAACCCATGTATAGATACTCTTATTATCAAAGTAAAGAAGCATTTTGTGTTATGAAGAGTCATGCAAAACCTAAATGACACAAGCAAACATTGAAGTTTTTTTTGTGCAGTCATATCTAAATAAAGAGTGTAAATATATAAACCACGACTTTGGAACAAAAGTTCTAAGACACAAAGGCAACAGAGGGGGGGGGAGAGGGGGCCTGTGAGAGCATGCTACTCTACTGGGGCCATGCACAACAAGACTGATAGGACACATCTGTGTGTGTGGGAAGATGGAACACACTTCGAAAAAGGCAGGAAGCCCTCCCAACATACCTGGTAACAGCCTACCAAGGGGTCGCCCGTGGTGTTGTTAGGGCACAGACAATAGGGCCGGTGCTGGTAGGGTTTACACACAGCGGAGTCCAGGCAGGGATTGGCCACCAAGCATGGATTTTGGCAATGGAAATCCAAACACGAGTCGATTTTAAAACAGTCGATGTCTATTTCACACTTGCGAGGTGGCCGAGGTGCAGCTATAGGGGGGGTTTTGGGGTTATGGGTTAGGTTTGCCAGTTAGTCCAGTTTGCTAACTATTACTGAGAGTAACTTGGAGCAGCCGTCACTTCGCTAATAAACATATATACTACCACCTTGTGGGAAAAGACATTTATAAAAAAATTTTAGAACATCTATTAGAGGACTAAAGAAGCCACGAGTGGCATAACTTTCCTCTAATAAATGTCCTGAATTGTACGAAGACCCTTTTTTTCCACATCTTGTAGGTATCACCAGACCTTTGTCGAAGGACTGATCAATACCTTTGACATACAGACTTTAAAAAGATGTTGCTCAAAATTACCGTTAATGTTAAAATTATCAAATTACTTTATGGGGAGCACAAAGAGACCATACACACTGCTGGGGACAGTCAGCGTGAGGGCGAAACTGCATTTAGGGAAAAAGACCCGGGCCGGGACAGTACCTGCGCTCACAATACTCAGTCCTCATTCAAGTGCTGTTCAATACCATGTAGAGACACTATCATATTTACAATATGAGATTTTTAATATAATGACTTTTATTTATTTTAAATCCTTTTTTTTACTATAGCAAGAATAGCAACTAGATTTTATGAGGTGTAGTAGCAGCGAGAACCGTAATAACCATTCTGTGTCACACAGATAAAAGCAGTCTGTGGCATAATGATTTTACTGTCATTCTTCCCTCAACAGAAACTTCCTATTCAAAAAATCTACTGCTTAAGAACAAATAATACTGAATGTGTACACTTCCACACATCACCTGGTTCCCAGTATTAAAAGCCTGCCAATGTGTGGTGTACATGTGGACTGAGCTTACAGAACATCACAGCAGTGTGTACAAGAGTCAATTTGAAATTGTACCACACCAGCTAGACTACACAAGACAGTGGTGAGGTGTTAACAAGCCATCTTTAAGTAACAAGCATCAGGTGTTATAACTAAGCAATCATTTAAGTTGTGAGCTACAGCCAATCTACAGTGCATCGAACAAACAATAAGCATACAATAAGCTATGATTTACACCCAAATCATACATTTTATAGTACATGATAAATTACAGGTTAGTGATACAGTGAGGTATGATAACATAAAACAATACTAGTCTTTGAGAAACTCAAGATCAGTGAGGGTGGATGATGGGGGTGCTGAGGGAACATGCACTACAAGATTACCAAGGTCTTGTGTTATACACTGTGGTACACCAAGGTCTTGTTTTTGCACATGTGGTACACCAAGGTCTTGTGTTATACACTGTGGTACACCAAGGTTTGTTGCACACTGTGGAAACACCAAGGTCTTGTGTTATACAGTGGTACACCAAGGTCTTGGTTGCACACTGTGTACACCAAGGTCTTGCATTATACAGTTTTGGTACACCAAGGGGTCTTGTGTTATACAGTGTGGTACACCAAGGTCTTGTGTTGCACACTGTGGTACACCAAAGGGCTTGTGTTATACACTGTGGAACACCAAGGTCTTGTGTTAACACACTGTGGTACACCAAGGTCTTGTGTTATAACACTATGGTACACCAAGGTCTTGTTTTTACACACTGTGGTAAAAACCAAGTCTTGTGTTATACAGTGTGGTACACCAAGGTCTTGTGTTATACCAATGATACACCAAGGTCTTGTGTTACACACTGTGGTACACCAAGGTCTTGTGTTACACACTGTGTACACCAAGGTCTTGTGTTACATACTATGGTACACCAAGGTCTTGTGTTATACACTATGATACACCAAGGTCTTGTGTTACACACTGTGGTACACCAAGGTCCTTGTGTTATACACTATAGTACACCAAGGTTTTGTGTTACACACTGTGGTACACCAAGGTCTTGTGTTACACAATGTGGTACACCAAGGTCTTGTGTTACATACTATGTACACCAAGGTCTTGTGTTATACACTATAGTACACCAAGGTTTTGTGTTACACACTGTGGTACACCAAGGTCTTGTGTTATACACTGTGGTACACCAAGGTCTTGTGTTATACACTATGGTACACCAAGGTTTTGTGTTACACACTGTGGTGCACCAAGATCAGATAATCACTGTAAACATGCTTGTGTAACGGTCACTTTTTCGACTGTCTCAGCAAGAGTGAAAACTGAGTAAGAGGCTGGGCCGTAACAAAAAGCATATGAGTGGAGGCAAAATGTGATTTCGTTGTACTTGATAATTCTAAGGATTCTTCATAACAGTGATGATAGCCGAGGGAACGACAGTCATGAAGGCTGCATGAAACTCACACACCACCAGTTAAGAATATTTTAATCCCTAAAACAGTGATTAAAATAGATTCTCACTGTTTATATACACTTGGAGATATACACCTGGGTTTTTGTATATCATGGTAGGTGAGGAAAGGAAGACATGAGTGTGGTGTAAATACTTACTTTCATAGCAGTTGACATGAGGGTTACCAGTGCGGCCAGGTGGACATGAGCAGTCAGTTCGTCGATTGAGAACCTGTGGAAGCAAGACATTAACAAACATGTTTCGTTTATCATTCAGCGGCCTGACGGTCAGACCATGAGAACAGATAAGTGTAAAAATAATGTAATCTAAGATCGTTTCCACAAGAAAACATTTAGATACTGGGAAGATGTGGGATATACAACATAAAACTTGGTCTCTTCACTTCCTTAAACATAATAGTTCATCTAAATATTACTAAACTTTACTCAATTTATCCATTGATTTTTAAGCAATTTCCATATTTTTTTTTTCCACCAAGATAATTATCAACTTAAAGTTGAGTCAAGTGTTTGTTGAACACAATTCAAACAATATAAAAAAAAACATTAAAACACCCGTGAATGTTTAATCTTTGGGTTTGGTACTGCTACTCAAGAAGATAAACATACAACTTACTACATACTGTGTATATTACATACAAAAAAAACAATACAAAATATTAACCCATTGTTACAGTTCTTCTTGGAGATTTACAACACAATGTACAGACAAGACATGTCCCATTGTTACAGTTCTTCTTGGTGAGTTACAACACAATGTACAGACACAAGACGTCATCTAAATGATTTAAAAAAACCGACAGGTTGAAGAGTGAGACACTTGTGTAATATTTGGGAATCATTATTGATGACACATTTTGCCAGCCAGTGGCTTCTTTGGTCCAATACAAAGAAGAACGGTGGAAAATGAGGACGAGTTTGAGGTAATCAGTCCCTCAGTCTGGAGTTGGGGTCTTCAGTCTTGAGAAAAGTACTTTTCTCAAGACTGATGGACTGAACACATCTACTCCCAGACTGAGGGACTGATTACTTCAAACTCCACCGTTCTTCTCTGTATTAGACTGAAGAAGTCACCGGCTGGCAAAACGTGTCAACAATAATGATTCCCAAATGCTGCCCAAGTGTCTCATTCTTCATCAATACAAGACAATTATTTTTCTGATATCCACTGTCCTCGAGTCAGTCTCAGTGGAAACTGAATGTAGATAGAAGACCATTGCAAAATCCTGATAATGTGTAGATTGCAACACAAAAGGCCTAGAGCTATCATTCAACTCTCCCATTGCTGTTTTGCATCTTGTATCACTTGTTCACGATATTTGCACAGTATCTCCAGTGTATACACACTGATATAATATCACAATATGCAAAATAACCACTGTGAAAAAAATAGTGAAATTCCCAGCACTTTTGTGACGTCTCACATTAATAAGTAACAGCCACGAAAGCTCTTGGAATATCATCATTTTTTCCACTATGGTTATTTTTGCATACATTGATGTGTGTGTATATCTGTGTATATATACACCGTGAGAATATTTTGATCCCTATTTTAGGGATTAAGGTATTCTTGTCTGGTAAACTAACGTAAATGCAATATAAACACGTAATACAGAGTGTGGATACACCTTCCTTCTCTGGATTACAGTTATCATTTATAGTCAGTATTATCACAATATTTCTGCAACCAGTAATAATTATAACTAAAATTATCAATGCAATTATATAATAAAGACTTGTATCACTGAAAATAATCATTACATTTAATAATTTTATCTTGAGACCACATAGCTTTATTAAGTTTACTGCTCAACTAATTTAACCTTATTTATACAACTGTACATGAGGGCACAACTGGAGACTTTTCAAAATTTGTCCAATAAATGTCATCTAATATTTTTAACAATTACGTACACTTTGAGTATAAAATTTAATGCATTAATGTCAAGCTTTAGAAAGAATTTATAGTTTCTCCAAAATACGTACTAAACTATATTTTTTCAACAAGGAGAGAAGGCAGGGAAGGGCAGGAGATGGCAGCACATACCTGGCACTCAGCATTGGGAGCACAAGGATTGAGGACGGCACATGGGTCAAGGCACTGTCTATTACGACACACTTCTGTTGGAGGACACTCATCATCCGTCGTACATCCTGGCTCCACTGTCGGTCCTGACACCAGAGGCGAGGAATGTAAGCAACACAGGGTATACCTGGGTATACCTGGTGTATCTACACAACACAACTCAGAGTATCCCATCACAAGTATTGCATCTAGGTATTTATTTTGTCTACTAGTTACTATCATAGTGCAACAAAGTGTTGTGGAGATTGAATATTGCACGAGACTACATTCAACAATTTCGTAATTATAACAATTAAAAAAACTAGCAACACAAAAAATAAAGAAAAAATGGAGAAAGAGTTGGGTTCTGCTGGTTAACTGATAATTATAATAAAGAATGAGGAGGGGGGGGGGAAAGTGGCAGGGAAACACTGCAGCTAAAAACATGACACACAACATGAAAGGTAACTTGGGGAGAGGCAAGAGTGAGCAATGATGCATCTCCAAGTTCATCTGTAATGATAATAAAAGTGGTGGGGTTAATGCAGGAGTAGATGCAGTGTAGTAACGTATAACAGGTGCTTCTAGAATATTACATCTAACAGGTGTCTCATCTCTACGACTCTACTTAAGTAAGCTCCATAAGGAATTTAAGTATTATTTTACTCATGATGTGTTGAGCTCAGTTGTCAATGCTGAGAACACAAATTAAGCACATATAGTACTGAGTAACTAGTTAATATCTACAGGTGCTGTTATTCTACTAGCTATCAAAGACCTCACATTTACAGCTGTAGTCAATCACTAGCACAGGAGAGTAAGTTGAAACCACGTTTTATAATACATGTGAGAAATGCAAGTACAGTAATTCATTATGTTTTCATGGAAATTCCGAGGTAAAACCTGTGCCTCTTTATATATGAAAATGAAGCAAGATGCTGTAATTTAGTGTTAAGCAGACACAGCAACATTCAAGTCTTACGTAATGTGCACTCAACGTAGGCATTGCCAGTGAAGCCTGGCAGACACTCGCAGGTCATCGTCCTGAAGGGAAGTGTGTCGATGACATGGCACTTGGCATTAGTGCCGCAGGGATTGATCACCTGGCAAGGGTCATCACAACGGCCGTCAAAGCATGCCATCTTGCTGGGGCATTCACCATCTGTCTGGCACTCCTTGTACGATGGTTCCAATGCTGGCTCTGTGGCACCACAATCCACGTTATAGCAATATGGCAAGAATGGTGAGTTTTGCTGAAGTAAGGTTACAGAAGTGGGCCAAATTTAGGAAAAATCAATGATACAGTTTTTTAGTACTGATACACCAAGGGATTAAATATATTTATCTGTGTAATCAGTGAGCAAGTGAATGAAGTAAGCTTATGCTAGTGTTTTAATCCCATTCTGGCTATCTTCCTCTTATGGGCAATAAAGTTGACCACCCTAAACTTGCCTTATCAAACTGGCTAAATATCACTAAAACACATCAGTGTTAGATAACAAGAGAGGAGCAGTAGAGGGCAGGGAAGGAAGAGTACTTACTGGGTACACACTGAACATTGGGGTCTCCTTGATGGTCTGGAGGGCAGGTACACAATGGACGGTGGTTGATGACACGACACTGGGCTCCTGGTCCACAGTTACAAGGATCTCGACACTCCTGGGAGATGCAGGCCAGCCATGATGGACACTCAGGGTCACTGGTACACTCTGGTCTCTCACACCGCACGTATGGGTCACCCTGGGAGGTGGACACACCGTCACTAACTTCATCAATCCATAAACTTCAAATTAACCTTATTAACCCGTAAACGATCCAAACGTATATATATGTTTTTCAACATTTGAAAATACAGTGGACCCCCGCATAGCGACCTTAATCCGTGCAAGAGGGCTGGCTGTTATGCGAAATGTTCGGTATGTGAATGAATTTTCCCCATAAGAAATAATGGAAATAAAATTAATCCGTGCAAGACACCCAAAAGTATTAAAAAAAAATTTTTTTACCACAAAAAAAATGTTAATTTTAGTACACACAAACTGAAAAAGGCATGCACAATTACATGACACTTACTTTTATTGAAGATCTGGTGATGATTGATGGGATGGGAGGAGGGGAGAGAGAGTGTTAGTGTTTAGAAGGGGAATCCCCTTCCATTAAGACTTGAGGAGGCAAGTCCTTTTCTGGGGTTACTTCCCTTCTTCTTTTAATGCCACTAGGACCAGCTTCAGAGTCACTGGACTTCTTTCGCACAACATATCTGTCCATAGTGGCCTGTACCTCTCGTTCCTTTATGATTTGTCTAAAGTGGTTCACAACATTGTCATTGTAACAGTCACCAGCACGGCTTGCAATAGCTGTGTGAGGGTGATTTTCATCAAAAAAGGTTTGCACTTCAAGCCATTTTGCACACATTTCCTTAATCTTTGAAGTAGGCAATTCCTTCAATTTCTCTCTCCCCTCCTTTGAACCAGTTTCCCCAGGTCTGGCCTCTTGCTCTTGAAGTTGATCTATCAGCTCATCAGTGGTTAGTTCTTCATTGTCCTCCTCCACCAACTCTTCCACATCATCCCCACTAACCTCCAACCCCAAGGACTTCCCCAATGCCACAATTGATTCCTCAACTGGTATACTCCTCTCAGGGTTAGCCTCAAACCCTTCAAAATCCCTTTTGTCTACACATTCTGGCCACAGTTTCTTCCAAGCAGAGTTCAAGGTTCTCTTAGTCACTCCCTCCCAAGCCTTACCTATAAGGTTTACACAATTGAGGATATTAAAGTGATCCTTCCAAAACTCTTTTAGAGTCAATCGAGTGTCTGTGGTCACTTCAAAGCACTTTTGAAACAGAGCTTTTGTGTACAGTTTCTTGAAGTTGGAAATGACCTGCTGGTCCATGGGCTGCAGGAGAGGAGAGGTATTAGGAGGCAAAAACTTCACCTTAATGAAGCTCATGTCCCCATAAAGTCGCTCTGCCACGTCTGTAGGATGACCAGGGGCATTGTCTAACACCAGGAGGCACTTAAGTTCTAATTTCTTTTCAGTTAGGTAATCTTTGACATTGGGGGCAAATGCATGGTGTAACCAGTTATAGAAAAAGTCCCTAGTGACCCATGCCTTACTGTTTGATCTCCACAGCACACACAAATTATCCTTGAGGACATTCTTTTGCCTGAACGCTCTGGGAGTTTCAGAGTGATACACTAATAAAGGCTTAACTTTGCAATCACCACTAGCATTGGCACACATCAACAAAGTAAGCCTGTCTTTCATAGGCTTATGTCCTGGGAGTGCCTTTTCCTCCTGAGTAATGTAGGTCCTGCTTGGCATTTTCTTCCAGAACAGGCCTGTTTCATCACAATTAAACACTTGTTCAGGTTTCAGTCCTTCAGTTTCTATGTACTCCTTGAATTCCTGCACATATTTTTCAGCCGCTTTGTGGTCCGAACTGGCAGCCTCACCATGCCGTATCACACTATGTATCCACTACGCTTCTTAAATCTCTCAAACCAACCTTTGCTGGCCTTAAATTCACTCACATCATCACTAGTTGCAGGCCTTTTTTTAATTAAATCCTCATGCAACTTCCTAGCCTTTTCACATATGATCGCTTGAGAGACGCTATCTCCTGCTAGCTGTTTTTCATTTATCCACACCAATAAGAGTCTCTCAACATCTTCCATCACTTGCGATCTTTGTTTCGAAAACACAGTTAAACCTTTGGCAAGAACAGCTTCCTTGATTGCCGTTTTCTTGGCCACAATAGAAGAGATGGTTGATTTGGGTTTCTTGTACAACCTGACCAGGTCGGTGATACGCACTCCACTTTCATACTTATCAATGATCTCTTTCTTCATTTCTATAGGAATTCTAACCCTTATTGCTATAGGGTTGGAACTAGAAGCTTTCTTGGGGCCCATGGTCACTTATTTTCCAGAAACAGCACCGAAAACACTGTAATAATACGAAATATTCCGATTGTATGCTTGAATGTTACCGCGGAGGCTGGCTGGTAAATAATGCCACCGGCGGAACATATGAGGCTGGCTCAGGCCGCACATTGGACGCGTCTCGGACGAAGGCCACTGAGCGGGTTTTTGGGCGGTATGCGGGGCAAAATTTTAGCGATCAAAGCGTCCGCTATGCGGATTGTCCGTTATGCAAGGCGTCCGTTATGCGAGGGTCCACTGTATGTATGTAATCTTTTTTTTTTTTGTACATTTGAAAATGTGTAAAAACTTTGATCTACTTTTTTTTTGTTATATTTGAAAATATGTAAAAAAACGTAGATCTACTTCTGGAGCACTACGCATGTGAACGTAGATCTGCTTGGACCGGTTACGGGTTAAAGAGCTGGACAGTACCAGAAGCAAGGAACTTACCAAGAATATCTCTCATGAACATGGGAGAACTTCACCAGACTCCAAGACACTTACCGAGAGCATCTCAAGGCACTTACCAACAAGCTTTCGGGACAGTAGCACTTGGCTCTCTGGTTGAGAGAGCGACATTCAGCATTGAGGCCACACTTCTCAAACTTGCATGGGTCTTCACACTCTCTGTTGATGCAGGCATGGAGCACAGGACACTCCGAATTTGAGCGACACCCAGCTGTAAACCACCAAATATGTCTTAGTTATCCTTCCCATGGATAGATGTGTGTGTACTTGTGGACCACCAAATATGACTTAGTTATCCTTTTTGTGGATGGATGGACGTGTGCATGTGTACTTTAATATGTGCATAGTGCACTGGTATATGTGTGAAAGTAATGTAGAAAGAGAGAGTGGAGTGAGAGAGGTAAGAGTAAGCAAGTGTGTGTGTGCTAGCCTCATGTATAGTCAGTGACATTGGTTCACATATATAGTACAGTCACTAAGTAATATAACTTATATAAGGTCAGTAGCTGTGGTTAGAAGGTCAGAGGTTGTTAATATTTTTTACAGTCATTAGCTTTCTTAAATACAGTATAGTACATTGACTGTGCATGTGCATTACACCTTTGTAATTTTCTCAAATATATAAATATTTTAAGTCAACAGTTGCTACAAAATATTTTAAGTCAACAACTGTTACGAATATTTAAAGTCAACAGTTATGAATATTTTTCTGTCAGTGTACATCTGGAAGCAGTTACTAGTCAAGGTTAGACTGGTGACACAGTCTAGTCTACTATGAAAGACATATCAAGTCAGGCTCACACTCTGGGTTGATAAGTTATTCACAATACCGAATATAGTTGTGTGGCAGAGAGATAAGTATACAATGTTTGATGTCTGAAAAGTGATGCTGTGGATTCAGTGGTATGGTCTAAGTTACTGTCAAGAGGGTAGGCTACAGCAGCTCTGTGCAAGTGAAGATGATACTAGGTGGGTACTAAACATACAGTGTAACCTGGGTACTGAAAATATAGTGTAACTTGGGTACTGAACATATAGTGTAACCTGGGTACAGTGTACCCTGGGTACTGAACATACAGTGTAACCTGGGTACTGAACATACAGTGTAACCTGGGTACTGAACATACAGTGTAACCTGGGTACTGAACATACAGTGTAACCTGGGTACTGAACATACAGTGTAACCTGGGTACTGAACATACAGTGTAACCTGGGTACTGAACATACAGTGTAACCTGGGTACTGAACGTACAGTATTTACCTGGGTGATGAACTGGAGACTTCCAACATGCTCTGACTGAGACATGTAACCTGGATAACATCAAATAAAACTGGATAAGGTAGAAGGTAAACTAGTTAAGAGTGAGTTTTGGGTCTGTACAACTGAGTGTGACTGTCGACCTTACCCACTAAACACTGGATGTTAGGGTTGCCAATGTAACCGTCGGGGCATGAACACACTGCCCTATGACGAATGACATGACACTCGGCATTTGGGGCACAGTTATCATAGAGGGCACAGGGGTCTTGGCAGTGCTCATTGATGCAAGCCAAGGTGTCGCTGCACCGCTCATCCTCTAAACATTCAGGCTGTGGAGTGGACACCTCGACTGTGGCAGCAAGGCAAGAAAACAAGTTAGACAAAGACCACTGGAATGTACCACCAACACTCTCTTACCCTGGACCCACTTACCAAACCTTCATGTAAATACTCACAAGTATTCTACAACCTGACATTAATATTTTAAGTGAGTCCTGGAAGGGATGGAGCATTGGTGAGCTTGATTGATCCTTAAGTTAAATAAGCTTTCTAATAAATTTTGTAATGGCCATAAATTGCATATACTGTATATATATATATATATACACACACACACAAAGAAGTATGTATAATCATAGAGTAGAAAAGCTTAAGTATAGTTTACCGATGCTGAACAATGCAAATTTCATTGATGCAAACAGTTTAAAATGCAGTTTATAAAGATGAACGATGCAGGTCGTACGATGCAGGCTTCGTGATGCACAACTGAACAATGCAGGCTCCTTGATGCAGAAATGAACAATGCAAACTTAAAAAATATGCATAAGCACAGACTAAACGAAATAAATGAGAGGCACAAGAGAAAACATGCATCGTGCTCTGGCATGCGTGAACAAGACAAAGAAGTGGAAGACAAAGCCACTAAACATCTTACTGCTGGTGCACTGAAGATGGGGGTCACCGCTCATGCCTCTGGGACAAGAACACAGGGCGCGGTGCCTGATGGCATCACAGAGGGCTGTAGGTGCACAAGGCTTGCCCACCTCACACGGGTTCTGGCAACTGCCACTGTAGCAGGCACGGTCAGCAGGGCAGTCCTCATTTCTAGTGCACTGAGGCTTGAGGCTGGGTGGAGCTGGGGTTAGGATGGGAGCAGTGGGTGGACGGCACCTTACATATGGGTTGCCAGTGTAGCCAGGACTACACATACATGTTGGTGTGTGAACAGTGACTATGCACTCAGCATTGAAGCCACATACATCTCTGCTCTGGCATGGGTCTTGGCACTGCTGGTTGAGACATGCCAAGTTGTAAGCACAATCGTTATCCACGAGGCATTCGGGTTGTGGAGTGGTGGGCGGCTGGTAGGGTGGTGGGGTGGGTGGCTCTGGGCGGCGGCATGCCACAAAGGGATTTCCTATATAACCCGGAGGACAATTACATATGGGTCGATGGTTATGAGCGGTGCACACAGCCATAGGGGCACAGGGGTTGGTGGTAAGGCAGACCTCCCTACACACACCACTGGTGCACACCTGTGTGTTGAAGCAGTGCTCATCCAGCAAACACTGAGGCTTCTCAGTTAGAGCCACAACTGGGGTACATATAGCCTGGTGCATCTGAGCAATACACTCAGAGTCTGTCTGGCATGGCTGCACACTGCATACCTTAACACAAAGACGGTTGTAACACTGCTCATCAAACGCGCACACTCCACTGGTTGTACACCCAATGGGTAGAGGCCCATCAGTGACTGGTAATGCAGGGGGAGAAGCAGGTGGCTCTGTCACCTGTGGTGGCTGTGTCAGCACCAATGGAGGATGTGTGGGCGAGGTGGGGGCTGCCACAGGCATGATGGGTTCCTTGGGTTGTGGGTGAATCTCCTTGAAAGGTGGTGGCAGGGTGGGAGGCACCTCTGTCACAAGTGCCTGACAATGATGCTGTGGGTTGCCCGTAGTTCCGCTGGGACATATACACACTGCTCGGTGGTCCAGGGATTTGCATTCTGCATTTTCTCCACAAATTCCCAAAGAGCAAACAGGGTAGCACAGTAGGTTAATGCAAGAGTTGTCTATGTCACAATTATCATTGTTCTCACAGGCTATTAATATTGGTGGGATGATGGGCGGAGGTGGGTGGACAGGAATAAAAGGCTCGGGTGACCTGGTGGTGGTTACCTCTGCCATTGGTGAGGGTGTAGTAGAGTCTGGAGCAGCTATGGGTTGCAGAGGTTGCTGTGACAGTGGGGTGTGAGCCCCACTAATTGGAGGCTGTGGTATAGTGGGCTGGAGCACGGATAATGCAGAACACTTGAGAGTTGGGTTCCCAGTGGTCCCAGGTGGGCACTTGCATTCTATCTTATGTGCTCTTGTCTGACATTCAGCATTTTCACCACACAGGCCTGGATAACATATGTCGAGACAGAGTTGGTTAACACATGAATTGTCATATGGGCACTCGTCTGCACTTTGGCAGCCAACTGGAAAAGGTGGAGCTGTTGGTGGAAGAGGCGGCGTAACAAAGGGTGGTGGAGAGGGCCTAGGACTGCTCAGCTCAAACAGTGGTAGTGGAGTAGTGTGGTCAGGGGCTGCCACTGGTATGACTGATACATCTACAACTGGTGATGGGGTGTCCTTGGTGGGCATGGCCAGCGTTGTGTGCTCCATATGTATTGCCTGGCAGCCCTCTGTAGGATTGCCTCTAGTACCAGTGGGGCACTCACAAACTGGACGTTGATTAAAGATCTGACACTCAGCATTCTCACCACAGATGCCTAGAGAACAGACATCATAACAGATGTGGTTCAGGCAAGAGTTGTCTGCAGGACATTCATCATTGTTCTGGCATGCAATAACAATTGGGGGTAGAATAGGAGTTATTGGAGGCCTAGGTGGTAAAGGTTCAGGTGTTGTAGTGGGCATCACTACTAGTGGTGGAGGCCTTGGCGTTGTTGGTGGAAGGATGGGCACCATGATATCTTCGGGTGGGTGGGGAGTAGAATGAACCAATGGGGGTAGAGGCTCAACTGAGCTTTCTGTGACCAAAGCTATACAGGCTATAGTAGGGTTGCCAGTGGTGCCCTTAGGACACACACAAGCAGGTCGATGTTCTGTTGTCTGACAATTAGCATTATGACCACACAATCCAGGATAACACACATCAAAGCATAGCTGGTTAACACAAGTATTATCAAATGGGCACTCATCATTGCTGGAGCAGCCAGTGGGAAGAGGGGGAGGAGTTGGTACAAAGGGAATAACAGGAGGCTCTGGCAGAGCAGGGTGAACCGGAGGCATGGACACTAGCGGAGGGAGAGGGACCTCAGTAGATGCAGCAATTGGCAACACAGGCTCGCTAGGAGGAACTGAAGTTATCCCAGGTATTGGTCCAACAGTTTCTGGCGGGAGAGTGACAAGAGAAGAGCATATTACTTGAGGATTCCCTGTTGTTCCAGGTGGGCACAAACACACTGGCCGGTGGTTCAGTGTTTTACAATCAGCGTCTTCGCCACAAATGCCAAGGCTGCAAACATCATAACAAAGCTGATTTAGACACGAGTTGTCCATGTCACAATCATCATTGTTCTCACAAGCAACAGGTACTAGAGGAACTATCGGAGGTGGTGGAGGTCGTGTGAGAGGTGGCTCTGTAGTAGGATGTTTTGGTTTCTCTGCCAGAGGAGGAAGTCCTGGGGCTGTGGGACCTGTGATTGGATGGATGATTATCTGCTCTATAGGATGCCTGTCTCCAACAACTGGAGGATGGAGAGGAACTGGTGCATCTACAGCAAGAGCTGAACACTTGACATTTGGATTGCCTGTAGTTCCTAATGGACAGTTGCAAGTAGGACGGTGTCCAACCGTTTCACAGTCTGCATTTTCTCCACATAAACCAGGATGACAAATGTCAAAACAAAGTTTGTTTACACAGGAGTTATCGAATGGACAATCATCAGAACTTTCACATCCCACAGGCAGGGGACCAGGTGTGGGTGGTGGTGGTGGTAGTGTCACTGGAGGCAGTGTGGGTCTAGGCCTTGAGTGTTCAACCAGTGGTGGTGCACCAGGACTTGTTGGTCCAGTTATTGGATGTACTGGGTCCCCAGGCTGGGTTGGCATAATTTCTGCTATTGGAGGCTTTAGACTGATAGGTTTTTCTGCAACTAAAGACACACATTCGCGTAAAGGATCTCCTGTTGTTCCTGGAGGACAGTTACAAACTGGACGATGTTTGGCAATTTTACACTCTGCATCATCTCCACAAACCCCCAGACTACACACATCATAGCAGAGGTTGTTGATACAAGAATTGTCTGAAGCACAGTCATCATTGTTCTCACAGGCAATGACAAGAGGTGGAATAATTGGTAGAGGTGGTGGTCTTGGACTAGTTGGTTCAGGCGGTCTTCTTGTTGGTGGTTCAGCTAGAGGAGGATCTGTAGGAGATGAAGGACCTGATGCTGGTATTACTGGCTCACCAGGAGGTAAGACTGTTATACCTGCCATTGGACTGTGGGTAACAGCTATCTCAGTAGCAAGAGCCATGCACCTCTCTGTTGGATTGCCAGTCGTGCCTGGTGGACACACACAAGAAGGGCGGTGTCCCACAGTCCTACAGTCAGCTGCTTCACCACAAAAACCAGGATGACATATATCCAAACAGAGGCGATTGATGCAGCTGTTTTCAACTGGACAGTCATCACTACTAACACAACCTACGGCATTTGGAGGTGCAGTTGGTATTGGAGGAGGCAGTGGAGCAGGAGGTTCCGTAGTGTGAGGTATTGGAGCTTCAGCTAGCGGTAATGGTGGGGATGTACTTGGACCAACAACTGGGTGTATAGGTTTTTCTCTATCAACAGTTATGTCAGCAATGGGGTGCTCAGTAGTTATGACAGGTTTTTCAGTTGAAATAGCTCTACAGCCTTCTTGTGGATCTCCAGTTGTTCCGGGATAACAAAGACACACTGGTCTGTGATTTATACTCACACATTCAGCTTTTTCACCACAAATGCCAAGGCTACAGACATCATAACAAAGCTGATTCAAACATGAGTTGTCCATGTCACAATCATCATTGTTCTCACAAGCAACAGGTACTAGAGGAACTATCACAGGTGGAGGAGGACGTGTGACAGGTGGTTCTGTTGGTGGACGTTTTGGCTCCTCTACCAGCGGAGGAAGTCCTGGGGCTGTGGGACCAGTTATTGGATGGATGGCTATCTCATCTGCAGGAGGCCTGTCTCCAACAATTGGAGGAGGTAGTGGTACTAGATCATCCACAGCAAGAGCTGAGCACTTGACATTTGGATTGCCTGTGGTTCCTAATGGACAGGTGCAAGTAGGATGGTGTCGAACCGTTTCACAGTCTGCATTTTCTCCACATAAACCAGGATGACAAATGTCAAAACAAAGTTTGTTTACACAGGAGTTATCGAATGGACAATCATCAGAACTTTCACATCCCACAGGCAGGGGACCAGGTGTGGGTGGTGGTGGTGGTGGTAGTGTCACTGGAGGCAGTGGGGGTCTAGGCCTTGAGTGTTCAGCCAGTGGTGGTGCACCAGGACTTGTTGGTCCAGTTATTGGATGTACTGGGTCCCCAGGCTGGGTTGGCATAATTTCTGCTATTGGAGGCTTTAGACTGATAGGTTTTTCTGCAACTAAAGACACACATTCGCGTAAAGGATCTCCTGTTGTTCCTGGAGGACAGTTACAAACTGGACGATGTTTGGCAATTTTACACTCTGCATCATCTCCACAACACCCCAGGCATACACACATCATAGCAGAGGTTGTTGATACAAGAATTGTCTGAAGCACAGTCATCATTGTTCTCACAGGCAATGACAAGAGGTGGAATAATTGGTAGAGGTGGTGGTCTTGGACTAGTTGGTTCAGGCGGTCTTCTTGTTGGTGGTTCAGACTAGAGGAGGATCTGTAGGAGATGAAGGACCTGATGCTGGTATTACTGGCTCACCAGGAGGGAAGACGTTATACCCGCCATTGGATGGGGAACAGTTCTCAGTGCAAGACCCTGCACCCCTCTGTTGGGGTTGCCAGTGTG